AAAAAAAAAAAAAAATCTGGAAAAGGAACCTATTTTTCTTCAGTTAATTTAAAAAAGACTATACAAATCCTTTAGGGATGGATTAAATCATTGGTATCATTGCTTACAAAAGTTTCTTAAACTTGAGGGAGATTATGTTGATACATAAAGTTTACATTTTATTTTATTTTAAAGTTTACATTTTATGTTTTTTATCTTTCAGTTACGTTTTCCACAAACTTTTGGAAGTCCCCTTTTATAAATGGAACAGCAAACCAAAACCTGGTGAGGCAGATGGTCAGAAGTTGTAATTCACAGAGATGTGAATGCTGTTTAATAGAAGGCCCAGGAAGGTGACATTCACCAGGATATAATATTATTATTATTAAAATTCAGGGCAAATGACCCAAGGGTTCATCAACAGGTGACTGAGTAAGTAAAACATGACATATACATACAGTGGAATGTTATTCAGTCTTGAAAGGGAGTGAAGCACTGATACATACTACAAAATGGACACAAAAGGACGTATATGATTCCACTTCTATGCAGTACCTAGAGCAGGCAAATTCATAGAGATGGAAAGAAGAATGGTTGCCAGGAGCTGGGGGAAGACAGGGATGGAGAGTTACTTTTGTGGGTACAGCTTTCAGTTGGGGAAGATTAGAAACTTCTAGAGATGGACCGCAGTAATGGTTGCACAAGGTGAACAGAGTTAATGCCACTGAACCGTATGTACACTTAAGAATGGTTAAAATGGTAAATTTTATGTAACATATATTTGGTCACAATAACTTAAAAAAATATTCAGAGCAATTCATAAAACCTTCCCACAGCAGAAAGCCTGAAGCTTAACTGTCCTCAGGGGCATTCACAGAAGGAAAATTTGCAGAGTCAAGAACGGATTTGCAGATTTGCACAGGGTTACAACTATTATTGGAAGAAAAAGAGGTGAGATGAAAGAAACAAAGCAGGTAAATCTATATGTTAAAAACAGAACAGTCTTTGTTGGTGTGGGGCTGAGATGTGTAGAATTTCCCACTGAATTGATGAAATATATAGATGATAATATTGTCTGTGGATGAGGTTCTTTTACTTTTTCTTTCCCATCTGGATGGTTTTTTCCTTGTTTGATTCCACTGGATAGAACCTTTAGAACAATATTGAATAGCCTTTACTGGAAAGAACAGACATCCTTGACACGTATGTGATCTGTAGAGAATTGAGTCATTCACCACTAAGTATAAAGTTAACTGTGGGTTTTCTGCCATCATTACATTGGGGAACTTGTCTTTTTCTAGTTTGCTGGTAATTTTTATCAAAAATGGATTTTGTATTTTGTCAAGTACCTTTTTGGTGCCTATTGAGGTGATTGAATACTTCTAAACAGTTAATCGTATGGTGTATTATTTTGATTGAGTTTCTTTTTATTGCTTCTTATTTTTTTGTTTTTTTTTTTATTGAATGGTAACTATGTACATTAATGCACTTCTGGGGTACTGTGTAGGGTTTTCACATGCAATCTGAAATACTTCCATCACACTGGTCAACACAGCCTTCATGTCATTTTCTCAGTTATTGTTTTAAAACGTTCACATTCTACTCTTAGAAAGATTCACTTGTACCCCTATATGATAAACCTCAGAAGTGATCCCTCCAAAACCCCTCCCTCCACCCATTCTCCCCTTCCTTCTCCCTCCCCCCTCCCCATATTCTTAGGCTATTTGGTTATAGCTTTCATATAAAAGGTATAAATTAGTTTCATAATAGGGGTGTGTACATTGG